AATATGCATAAGCCACTATTAAAACTTAATATTTTTTAAAAATAAGCTTAATTTAATAATACACAATATTAAATAAGATGATGGCTTCTTATTATTATTGTTTTGCATGACCTCCCTAAGATATGTTTAAGTAACTTAAGTAACTGTGTAAAAATGCCCTTGATCAAATAAATCAATTTTGTTGTTAATATGTTTGGAATATAAAAAAGTGTAAACAAAATTTATTTTTTTGGCAAATAATAATCGATGATACCCACACCTCCGCCATTTGTAAGTTTCTAAAGCTAGGAACTTATTGTTTCGGACCTACTCTCATGCTAAATATGCACACCGAATTTGCTAAGTTATCTCAACCGATTTAGAAATTAAATATTAAAAACTGTTTTCTTTTGACACTCTGTAGCTGAACAATGGCTACGATCAAATATCAGTTCAAAATTGCAAGATGAAGACTCCTGAACTTTGTAAATGATTCAACGGACTTGGTCCTCAACCAGAATAAAGGCTGGTTTATGTTAGAACGATATTCGCATTTTTATGCGAAAAAAATGGCAGAGACAAATTGTTCAATTAGTCGTACTGTATGACTGACCATTGTGGCTCTACTTAGAATTTATTTCAATGAGTAACTTATTACGTAGCTCAGTGCGTACTCTATTTTGTCGGTGAACGTAAATTTTAATATTTATCACTAATTCTAATTTTACAGAACCACAAAATGGATTTGAGGATATTTTTATATTGCGGTCTGCAGATGCGGTCGTTTACTAGAAAAAAATTTACGCCTTATTTAACAAATCATATCTTTTCAAGCAGCGTTTAACCATGCTCCTTTAGACTGGAAAATACCAAATTTTTTATTATTTCAAGCGGTTTTCAATAAAGTTCTAACTCTCCACATTAGTTTGAAGCTAATGGATATTATTAACAGATTTAATCCAATATTTTGTAAGTAGGAAAAAGTTTTAGCTATTAACCAGCAGTATGCAGTATAATATTGTTGCATTTAGTTTTTAGGCTGGGTGTTTTTAAACCAAATTTAGTGTCCAGATATCCTAGATCTAAAAAGTTTACCCTAGGTTTAAAATATGAATGAGATATCTCGAAAGGCTAAACTATCTTAACAAATATATTACATGATGTCCTTATTACTTGATAATACACTACTGGAAAAAATTAAAGGAACAACAAATTTTCATGAATTTTTTAGTGATTTTCGAAATTCTGTATCTACGTGAAAAATGGTCATATTGAGATAAATATAAAAGTGTTTTGAGGCTTTAAGTCTCTAGTTTCAGGATCTTTAGACAAAAAATGTTTTTCAGTTACGGTTATGAAGCAATCAAATGAATTACCTCCTGAAAAAAAAATTCCAAAAATTTTTCTTTTTAGGACTGCATCGACTCAAACTGAATCAGAACAGAGGTTATTTACAAAACATGACAAAAATTTTTTGCACTTTTTTCGAATTTGTCAATGATGAAACAAAATTTTGGAAATTTTTTTTTCGAGGTATTTCTTTTGATTGCTCGGTGACCGTAGTTAAAAAAAATGATTTTTATAAAGATCTTAAAACTAGAGATTTAAACCTTCAAAACGGAAAAATCAGTAAAAAATTCATGAAAATTTTTTATTCCTTTAATTTTTTCCGGTAGTGTATGTGTATACAGGCTGTTACAAATTCGCTTCCCACTACACAGATCTCGAAAACGGTAAGAGATACAAACTAGCTTAAATGGGGGCAAAGTTGCGTAATCAGGGGACCAACATTATGCCTCTAAAACATCAAGAGTAACATGATTAGTTTTCGAAATATTTGAAAAATAAACGAAATTTTGGAAATCCATTTTTGTTTCATTTCAGCCTTCTTTGAGGTGGTATTGAAAAAGAAGAAAACTTTCTGATGGCCACTTTTTGCCCTCTATCGAATGGCATAATCAATTTTTATATGTAACGTTTCGTCTCTCCAAGATCATCATCAACTTCATTCTTCTGAATACGACTCTGGAAATTTTATTAAGTTTTTTGCAAGCCTTCATGATCCCCAATACTGTACTGCCTCAGCCCGAACCAGATTCAGACGTTTTGTCTCGAAAAATTCGTCTTCAGTTTATTCGTTCCAAAATCTAAACACTTTATTTAGATTTCTTTGTTTATTGAATTATCGTACACTCTTAAGTGTCGTTAGTCCCTGTGAATTCCACATAGTTATTTAAACTATTACCACCACTCATTAAAATAAAACAATATTAGAGTTTTATTCCCGTGTCCAGTTATTTCTAGGCTTCTCGAGTGCTCAAAATTCAAACAAATTTCGATCTATTTTTTTCAGGATATTCATACAAATACATCTTACATGCTATTTCAAAGTTGCGGTTACAGATATAATAAATTCCGATAATATTACGCTCAACTTCATTTTCAACCTTTTCCAAAGCGAAAATGTTTTTGAACATTTACTGAAATTGTTTGAAGAATAATATTCAGTTGGTGTTTTGGTTGTTCATATGCATTTTTAAGAATTAATTTGTCATAATAAAATTAAAATTGTAATAGGTAATGTTTTAATTTTGATAATACTTATTGAGTTATGTATGAACAAGTGATGGTAATAGTTTAAATAACTATATGGATTTCACAGGGTTTAACGACACTTACAGTGTACGATAATGATAAACAAAGAAATCTAAATAAAAAGTTTAGATAAATTTGGAACGAATACACTGAAGATGAATTTTTCGAGACAAAACGTCTGAATCTGGTCCGGGCTGAGACAGTATTGGGGGTCATGAAGGCTTGTAAAAAATGTAATAAAATTTCTATGGTCGTACCTATTTAGAAAAATGAAGTTGATGATGGTCCTGGAAAGACGAAACGTTACATATAAAAATTGATTATGCATTTAATAGAGAGCAAAAAGTGGCTATGAGAAAGTGTTCTTCTTTTTTCAATATCAGGGCTGAAATGAAACAAAAAAGGATTTCCAAAATTTCGTTTTTTTCAAATATTTCGAGAACATGTTAGCCCTGATTTTTTAGAGGCATAATGTTGGTCCCCTGATAACGCACAGTTACTCTTTGCCCTCATTTAAGCTACTTCGTACCTCTTACCGTTTCCGAGATCCCTGTAGTGAGAAGCGAATTTGTAACAGCCTGTATATCCATTCCAAAAATGTCTTCGTGACACGATACATATATTTTAATATTCTACATATGATATATAAATAGTATATTAGAATTAAAATTATTATTTTTGAAGCACTTGAGTGTAGTTAGCCCCCAAAGTTAGCCCCCAAAACTAAATTAATAAAAATAAATATCTAACAATTCTATGATCATCTATGATTGTACTACAACCAAATTTCACCCACAAATTTACTTGTCCGGTCCGGGGGTGGAAATGGCGCGACTTACAAAGTTAGCCCCCTATTTTTGCTATAACTGTTCTCGGACCCGGACAAAACGAAATGATCTAAGGAATAGTTGAAGGAGGTGTACTGTAAC